AATATCTCTTGAGAAAATACACTAACGGCCCTGCTGGAAATCCTTGACTGAGAGAAGGATATCATGGAATAACAAAGGACCAAGAAGTTGTCAACACGACTAATCAACTTGGCAATAAGGGCAACCTATTTTACATTTAACGAGGCCATCTATGGACAAATATTTGGACTTCCCATGGGATCGCCGCTCTCACCTCTCTTGGCAAATGTATAATGGGCAAATTAGAAGAGAACTTCAAGATTTCACCGTTACAACTGACAGTGCTCACTCGGTACCTGGATGATTACATCGCACTTTGGTCACATGGAAGAGAAAGGCTGGAAGATTTTCTGAAGTTTATAAAGCAGATTAATGAAAAAATTAAAATTTACGATGGAAGTAGAGGAAATTGAGCGGTTACCGTTCCTGGATGTTGAAGTGGTTTGCTGTAATGGGACGCTTAAAAAAAGTCTTATGCCGGAATAATACTCGATTTCCAGTCCCATCATAATAACAGGCTAACGATAGGAATAATGAAGAATATGATGATCTGAAGCCTACGTTTAACGGATGTGAAATTCGGTAACGAGGAGTTGGACAAATTAACTAAGATATGTCTCGGCAACAGCTACCCAAGCGAAGTAATACAAAGAAACATACGGGCAGTGAAAAGCCGATGGCAGACCGAGTAATATGAAATAATAGCAAGGACGGAGAATGATTCACAAAAATGGAAATGTCTACCTTCCAGCAAACTAGCTGAAAATATACGGCCAATATTAAGGAAATGGAATATTCGGGTGACCACGAAAGAAAAATCAACACTTCACAAGTCTACCGACGCAACATGAAAGGGTCGACAAATTGGATTGTTCATGAGTTAACTGTATATCATTCGGCGCCTGCGAACAAAAATATAATGGCGAAACAAGAGGAAAATTAGCATACGAATCAAAGAACATCAAAGGCTTTGCAGGAAAATGAATACCGAAAGATCAGAATTGGGGTAATACATCGCACAGACTGAACACGGGATAAATTGAAAGGCAACAGAAAGAAGGGCCTCATACGGTGAACACACAAGGAAGCGGAAGATTATGTAGGCCATTGATATCCTTTGCGAGAAAAATCTAATGCACAAGAGATTGGAGGAAGGTAGAATTAGCGATATCTTTGCCTACAGCTTAAGCAAACTCGAGGAAAAAAAGATTAAAGCGAGACCAGCAAAAAGGAGACGTCTGGACCAGGGATCTATCGCTAATCGGAGGAAAAGGGATAGAGAACGGGGATTTTCGAAAATCAAGCGAAGACGTTGTCAGTGAGTGATGTCCGTTTCAAATAAACCAATACAACGTTGGGGACCTAGCATTCAGGAGCTAGGCGGACGGATAAGCAAACGGTCACAGGAATTCGACTTTATGGCCAAAATGTACTAAAAATCCACTTGAGATTCAGCATGCACCAGAAATAGGCGTCTACAGTTTGCTCGACTAACCCGGGTTTAATCAAGAAGACGACCCGTGAATAAAATTCCTGATATCTGCAGGCATGGGAATCACAGTCTAGGCGCTTTGCTCGGTAAGTGTACGTGTTTATAGGGCCTTGAAAAATAGCGCCTTATTTAAGCGCATCCTGGGACTGGAACCGAGTGAACTCGGTCAACTAAAAAGATAAGCAACGGATTTACGGAACCATGAGGAAGATCCGAATAGGAGGCCCGAGTCGGAGTAGCCGATCGAAAGAGAAGGGGTCTTGGGATGAGGCCACGCTAAATTTTCCAAAAACGGGCACACATTTTGACGAGTGGAATGTAAACAAATCAGAAGTTGTGATAGGGCAGGATTTGGATGAGGGTAAATAGTTGATAGATGGATTATAACAGAAAAAGGAATGATAGTGTAATCGTTTTCGGCAGAACGATGGTCAAGGGATTGATTTCACTTGTCTCTTTGACGAGTTTGTAGTTTGGTGCGAAGGATGGCAGCACTGACAGATGATGCCAACAATCATGCCGGCGAAATGTCTGAGAATGTATCAAGTTCACTGTCCGATGATGAGAGTTATGTTAAATACTATTGCAGAGGACTTCGGACAAGGTACGTTCTACTAAGTCACCCTGACAACAAGACTAAGTTGCTACAACTAATGAAAAGTTCATTCTGGATATAAGATAAGGTGTAATAATTTATAAAGTATACTTATTATAAATTATATTGGCTGCCTAGACTTTAAAATGTGAATAAAATTTTTAAAGAGTTGAACTAATATTAACTAAAAGAAAAATATTGCTAGTTGGAAAAAAGAATGCGATATTGACCTGGAGCGGTGGAGGGTCCATAAAGTCAAAACTGAGCAAATCGTTGATACCCATTGCCTTCAGCTGAAGTACTGTGCTGGCCAGGTTAGTTCTCTGAATCTCAGGAACGTTAGTAGCCAGCATCTCATCTCTGTAGGCGCGTTCTGTGTAAAGACGATAGCATTTTCCTGGACCCGTGCGGCCAGCCCTACCTGCACGTTGTTTCGCCTGGGCCTAATTTTTTAAATGATTAAATGGAAGACGTTACAAAGTTGTAAACATTCAGCACTCATAGCGGGACTCCAACCCTGATGGTGCAGTGTATAATCTGGACAGTAGCATAACAAATAATGGAATATGCTGCATAACCAGAGCTCGAGTCCCTCTAGGGGTGGTGCTTATTTCCTATGAGAAGTCAAAACTGCAGTCCACTCTGGATGAGATTAGCTTTTAGGAAGCAAGGATATGTGAAATTCAGTGGAAATGTAAGAACTACTCATAC